GTTGTTAGCAACGACCTCTTTCTCTTCACCACCCTTGGATTTATCAAGAAGTGCAAGGTGGCATACGTCTGGTTCATATTATCTGTACTATTCTTCCCATCCTTAAACCAAACTTTTGGTCGAGTTGGAATTGGACTACCAAACTCCATTTTGGTTTTGGAGGTTGAAATCTCCTTTATAGTTACTTCGTTAGCAACCTTCTCTTTGCAATCTATAACATCAGCTATTGATACCTTTGTACTGCTTTCTACCATTTGAAATTCCATTGGCTCAACCCGCTCTACTTCCTCTTTTTCAAACTTTTCTCTCTCACCCATCTCTAGCTTAATGGTATCTATCTCAGTTTTAGCATCAAATGCCTCTGATTTCTCCCTCACAGGCACTGTTTCCACTCTTGTATCAGCCACTGGCTCCAATTCTTCTATCTTATTTTCACGATCATCTAACATAATTCTTGAACTATCATTATTTTAGGATTCCTCCTCAATACACACTTTCTCCTCGGTATTTTCAGCAAACCTCTTACACAACTCTTTAGAGAACATTCCCAAATCTACTTTAGGATAGTTTGCAATGAATCCATAAAACCATGCATAAGCATTCCCTTCCAAATACTTCTTAGTAATTCCCAATCTAAGTTCATCAGGAGTTTGATGGAGTTGGAAATATTTCATGGCTTTCCTTAGCCATTTCCTAGGTCCTTCTTCCCCAAAAAGTGGAAAATCCATCTTAAGTGGCCTAATATTTTCCTTAAGCCCACTTGTTGTATTGACACTATTCTCATTACTATTAGTTCTTGGCATATATACCCCACTCTCACCATGCTCAACACCAACATCTTCACCTTTAGCAGAAGCATCCAATGGATTATGAATATGTCCAGGCCACAACGACAGACTCTTAATTTTACCCCCAAACAAGATCTCCTACATGGAATCCATTCTCCTGACCCACCAAATTTCTTTCATTCTTTAATTTTTCATTAGGAGCAATCATAATTTCTCTATTCCCATGGACAACACACTTGGTAATTACAACAACTAAATCATTGTCTCTGCTCAAATCGTAAGAACGCTTTAACAGTTTCTCTTCCCGTTCAGAACATGAACCCCAGTTCCCTTCCAGTTTAGAATCAGAATTTTCCATTTGATTTTCAGAAGACTCGACTATTTTTGGTTAATGGTTGGACAGATCTTTGGAGGTTGATTTACGCTCAATAAATTCATTAATCATTGAAATTAGTAGATCATGCTTCCTATTAATTTCGTCCGTTATGCCATCCAATCGAGACACCCAAGGATTGTAGCTGCTCAGATACCATTTGTAATGGTTGGAGCTGAAATTCAACCAAAACTAGCTAACTTCCACTCAAAATCAACAAACAGTTTAAGATACTAAGTAGGGATTTAATAACTCATCTGGGATTTCATCATTCGATTAAAATTTCACAAAAACAATTTAATGTAAATTGTATTTCATTGATTGATAAGTTTTATTACAATGTAGGGATTACGGGTAAACAACTAATATAAAATGAAGAGATAGATCAATAGAGGAGTAGAGATAGAGAAGTGAAGATAGATTCAGAGAAGGAAGAACAGAGCAAGAAGAACAGAGAAAGCAGAAGAAGAGGAGAAGCAGAATCAAGAAGGAGAAATAGGGAAAAGCAGAAGAAGAAGGAAAAGAGGCTTACCAGAGGGGAGAACGCAGAAAACAGAGAAGAAAGAAAAACACGAGAGGGGAGGAGAAGACGGTTTGGGCAGCAAGGCCACGATTCAATTCCACACCCCTCATCATCTTGAAAGCAATACCATATGTAGAACAAAACAACCCTAAAGGGCTTGGGCTAGCCCACAATTACAAAAGCCCAATTAGAAAAATAACAATAATGTAGTTAACCATGACACCCCTCATCGTGTTCAAAGCAATACCATATGTAGAACAAAACAACCCTAAAGGGCTTGGACTAGCCCACTATTACAAAAGCCCGATTAGAAAAAATAACAGTAATGTAGTTAACCATGACACAATCACCCGTTTTTTGGCATATATAAACTGTTGCTTTGAATGCAGAAAAATTATATATAAACGAGACAGAAATACTGCCCACAATCAACTTTGGACAAGTCGACTAACACTCTTTTCATCAGCCTTGCAGATAATTAGAAAATAAAAATCCCAACACAATCAAATCCTAAAACAAAGAATGCTATAGATTGGAGAAAAGGTACACCAAGAAGTGGTTCCTTCCGTGTTCAAAGTGATAGCATCTACAGAAGGAGAGGTAGAAACCAACAGAGAACTCTAGGAGATGTAGCCTGCAATATTAGAGTTTGAAGATAAAAAAGATGTTGTAATAAGGTAATGGAATACGGAAATATTCAAATTCTCGTCTTACACATTTCATGTTTAACTTTTAGAATGTTTATAAGATTTTTTTCTTGAAAAGATTAGCAGGACCGCAAGACCAACGGTGCTGATTATGATAGGCATTCAGGTTACTCGGTAGTTCATTTTTTGCCTGAATATGAGAATGCAATCACCGATTGAAGATATATTAAGAAAATCGCATTTATGGGGGCAGGGACATAACTTGCATAATTCTAAAGAGGCTCTTATTCATATGCTAGAAAAGAGAGGGATAGATCAAAACTAACATGGGTAGTTGATTAAGATTCAGTGATCATAAATCTTTGAGTAAATGTAGCAATGAACAAAATTAAGTGACAAAAAAAGATTCATGTAATTGCCTCCAAATTTCGAAAATCATGCTTAACTGTTCTGCCTGAAGATCTCAAGATATACAAATTTCCATCCCTTGAGACCAGCTCGGATGGCGAGATCCATATCCTCAACTGTTGTTCTATCTTTCCATTTTCAGGCCTCGTTAAAAGCCGAAATTCTCCACACTCCAGCAGTTCCTACATAAACAATTCCCTGAATTTCAGTCAACAAAGGGTCTGATGATTTCATTTCCTAGCTAGTGAGAATGTTACAATTGAAACCAAAAAATGCGCAAAGTTGCAGGTCCAACTTCTTGCTCCACAGTGAAATGTTAATCCAAGGACATCTCTTGCATTCTTGTCATCAAACATTCATCAGAGTTGACTGCATTTACCAAACCGAACAAACAACACAATAAACAAAATTTTAGTTTCTTTTTGGTCCTTATTATTATCATAGCTCAGAGTCATATGATCAGGATACAAGCCAAATTTCCATAGGGCCAGAACGAGGCAATTTCCTTGTTGTGTACAGGAAATGGTATGGAGTGTCGCAAGAAATTAGTGTGAGGTTGAAAATCAGCATCAAAGATAGCAACAAGTCACATAATTTTACATAACTATGCTTCATTCGTCCCCTAAGTGACCCAGCTTTATAACCAATTCTATTATCTCTTCTTTCATACTTCACGTTCACACCTTTACTTGTCCATCTCCAACATTCGTGTTGCACCTCCACCTGTTTGGTATATTTTGCATCACACAATTAAATTAACAAAATATTTTTGAAGAAAATAAAGAAAAACAATCCAGCAAAACCTTTATGAGTAATAGACTTATATCTTCTTTGCATGGACTTAATTTTATTTTGTAAATTTATTGAGAGTGCCAAGAATGAACTATATCAAAGTTAGGCAACTTTCTTTCTTTCTTTTTTTTTTTTTTCCCTTGAAATGTCCTTTTCCTTGGTTAGAATGAACGAAGACTGCGGGTTTTAAATTTTTTGTCAAATCGAATATATATACTTTCTTAAGAAGGATTTACACATACAGGTCGAGTCAAGTCCCTATTTGGTTGACTCAAGCGGATCAAGTAACTGAAGAATCAGACTCCAAAAGTGATTTCAAGATTAACCATTGATGCCAATATAAGAGTAGCAATTCTACAAGAATGAATAGAATAAAACCTTAATGGCAGGGTCTGTTGAATCATCAAGAACTTGAATTATAATACGATCCCTGGGCCTCGAAAGGCCACAACAAGCAGCTCCAATGGACAGCTGATATACCTAAAATTTTTAATAAAACTTTATTCAACTAATTTCTGAAAATAATAAATCAAGAGAAAAATAGTTAGTAACCCATTGAATTATTTAGGAAAAAATACATATATTCAGATTGTTTGAAGCACTTGTAAGTCAGCACGGTCATGCTGTTAGGATTGATATTTTTAAAGGTTGAAGAAGAGATAATTATTTATTAAATTTTGTTCAAATCGCACTCAATTCCAGTGTTGTTGATATTTATGAGTGATTCAATCCATTATATTTGTTTATTCTCATATATCATGTTCATTTCTATTATCTAAAGTTAAAGCCGCTGAGTGTTTAGAGTGAAAATGCATTACCTCTTTCTCATTGCACATTGGTATTTGCGCCAAAACCATAGGATAAGCTAAATTGCCCTCCTCCAAATCATCTTTAATGGGCTCCCATTTGTACCATTTTTCAGGTTTCTGCCTCAACAGCTTGACAGAAAGTGTTACAATTCCCATATAAACCCTCCCCACAAATAACACTGTTGACATTAATAAGCATACAATAACCATTATTTTCAAGAATAGCACCATCGATGGCGCCTTGGCCTTCTGTCAATGCAATCCAGCAGGGCCAAAAACAGCTCGAAAACTGCTCCAGTCGCCAGAAAACGCCGCCTCCACATCTGGTATCATAATACCCGTAGATGAACTCGTTTCCATTAATTTGTTGACATAATGGTACTTGAACGTGCACAAAAGCGATCTTATTCTTGAGATATTAAGAAGTGTAATTTGTATTTCTCGTGCACAACTA